ATATGTATACTAAATGTCATATATTTCGCCTGAAGTTGTGTAACTATGTGAACATTTCCTCTTTTCTTATTGTATCATTATAAATGTTCATACTTTTTATAGTAATAATTCAATTGTTGGCGACTCGTTTATAATACTATTGAGGATAATTTCTATTTATGAAATAGAAACGCTGAAATATACCCGTAGATTTTTTCAAATGTTCAGTTCAAAATTAAATAGCTTTTTCATAGGTTTGCTTTAAAGCTAATCTCAAGTGATTTACTCAAGTGACTAATCTCAATGATTACAAAATGAAATCTTAATAAAGTATTGAGTCTATACACTATAACTATGCATTGAAATTGCAATTAATTTCGAAAATATTCATAGTCATTTCAGTTCTTTGAAAATATGTATTTGAAACTATTGTATTTGAAATGATTTTAAGATGCAACATTAAAAGAAATCTTAATTTTAAGAAATACTAACGATTTCTTTTTTTAAACGCGGCAAATGCCTCAAAGTTGCCAAAATTTAATTTTCTAGTTTCTTTCTATATGCACTATTATACATATATTATATGCAATTAGAGTATAAATACATACACAAATATATAGATACATCTATTTACTTTGTTCTTGAATGGAAATGTGGTTAAGAAATTTATTTTTTTTTCTGTTTGTTTGGTAAGATACTTGACAATTTATACGTTTGTATTTATAAGTGTAAACAACTATGCATATAGTCTTTTGTTTGGTTATTGTTCGGTTGAAGTTTTGTCATTTTACTTGAAATTTTTTTTTATTTTACTTTTAATTTTTTTAATGAAATTTTTTGAATTTTCCACTTTTGCAATATTTTTATATATTTTCTTTTTACTTTAAAAGGCGCGCCCCTATTATGTTAACAATATTGATAATGATTATCAATTATAGTCTAGTAAACTATACACATTTATCATAAACCTCCCCATTGTATTTTATTATAATTTTTAGTGGACTGAATAAATAACTCCATTATATTAAGTTGAAATATTATATGTATGTATATAAGTATAGTAAAAACAAAAAATATCCTGTATTCTTTACATTTAGTTTAACTATGGTTGTTGTTGATGTTAATAAATTAAAATTAATAAAAACTTTCTTTAGTTCTTTGATTTCGAATGATGTAAAATTAGAATTTTAATTAAACATTTAAGAAAATTTTATTATATAAATGATAAAATCCAATCTATGAAAGATTTTGTTAATTGGATGAGTTCAACTTTAAGAATTATAATTTTTTTATTTAAAAACCCGTAACGCTTATATTGAAAAGTTTTGATAGTTTTCTTAGGTTAAAATCACAATTAAGTTTTTTGAGTATTAAAAATTTTTTTATCAAGGATAACAATCTAATATTTTTCCAGTAAAAAGCCCTCGTTGGATGTTTGCAAAATATTATAAGCTAATAAAGTGTTTTGCCGAATTATAAAACTTTCGTCTGTAACCTTTATATGACGAGTTGTATTTGCGTGGTCCTGCATTCCGAAAGAAAATTTTATTAAAAATTGGGATACTGTTTTTTCCTGTGAAAAGTTCATTTTATGATATTTGTTTAAAAATGGACAATAAGTGCACAAAAGGAATAAAACTTTTTGTAATAAAACATTCATTTGGGCTTTTTTTTTGAAAATTTTCATTATGAACCAATCGTTGGCACTGATTTTTTCTGAATTCGAAAGTGAATTCCAGTTATGTTACGAATTTTCGACAAGTTTGAATTTTCATTTTTTCATTACTTTTGCAAGAATCCGATAAAGGCGGATAGTGTTGCAGAAATTGTTAAGCTTTAAAATAATTTTTAAACAAAAAACAAATTGTTTGTGGAGTAGAGATTGTTTTCTTGCAGAATGCATGCACATACAAATGTATTAATGTTGAATATATTTATATGTATGTACATATATAGCATTCCTACGACCATATTCACTTTTTTTGTTTCAATTTTTATGTATGTACACATACATATATTTATGTGAGTACTATATAATGCAACGTATATACCTAGTGGCTTAAAGTTACAAATTAATATATCAACAATTTATCTTAATTTTTTTCTCTCGTATTTTAGTTCCTTTTTATTTTTCCTTTTATCTTAAATATTTGTCCTTTAGTCCTTTTTTTTTATTTTGCTAAATTTTTATTCATAGTACAATTTTCTACCAATTTTTTTTTCTATATAGTCTTAGGAGAGACTGGAAAAAGAATATTGAGGAGAAAGGAGAAAGAAAAGGAAAAACAAAAATAAATAATGTTGTTCAATTTTCTATACTCTCACTAACATTGACATAAATTATGTACATATACAGTAAATCTTTGATATTCAAAACATTGACAATTCAATCGAAAACCTTAGTTTTCATACAAAACATTATGAGAACTATGTATGTTCAGTAAATGATCGCAAAATCGCAAAATCTTTTCGACGTCAAATAATTCTGAGCACTTAAAAAGATGAGCGTTCATTAGATATCTCTTTGGATCAAATTTTATAATCCAAGTGATTAGATGAAATGCATATAACTTGTGGCAAACATTAATCTCCATGTGAATTGAATAAGTTATATATTTGGATTATCGGGAACTGTATTTGTTGAATTGCCTAAATCAAAAATAGGTTACGAAAAATATCTAAGAATATAACTTATTTAAGTTTATGAAACATACTCGTATACAGTGTGTTTAATGTTGAACTCCAAAATTTGATGCCATCAAATAATTTTTCTTGTTGCATACAATGCTTTCATTAAAAATAAAAAGTATATTGAAATATCTAGAATTTAAGTATGATACTCAACAAATTGCTGATTCAAAATTCAATTTTACTCAAAGATTAACATTATAAAAGTTGTACTGTGTATACAACTACATTCATAAAAATACAATGTATATATTTATTCTTATAAATATATAGTTTTTCATATTACGAGTATATATGTATGCATGTATTCGCACGTAAGGATAATCAACCTACTTAAATCAACACAATAATTCACACTGATAGACCATAAGAACTCGGACATAATTAATTTTTTGAACAAACATCAAATTTTATTCCGATATCCTGTAATAATATCAATGAAAATTTAATTTTCGATTGTCCGTTGTATAAGGAGTTTCTTCTTCTTTGTTTATTTTTCTTGTTTTACTATGGTTGTTTTATAGCACAACCAAAAAAAAAATATATATACTACATCTATAAAATGTTTTCTATGAACAAAATTGTTTTATTTTAGGATATAAGTTTTCTATGGAATGATTTTATACCATAGAAATAAGGAAAATAAGAAAACAGAAAAAAAAGTGGAAAGTAATGAAAATTAAAGGAAATTATAAGTTTTAAGTTTCCTAATATGCTTTTTTTTTCCTCTTTCTTTTTATCTTTCTTCCGCTTTTTTTCTTCTTTATTCTTCATTTCTTTAATGTTTATGGAGTTCTTGTGGTATATTAAATTTATTTCTCCATTTATGTCGGTAAAATGTTAAAAATTGTGAAGTCGGTACCAAATTAACTTTAACTTTATGAAAAGATTAACTTATTGTGTTTGTTTATAAACTACAAAAATTTTAGTGCATTAAATAAGGTCAAAATCGAATAATCTTAAGTAGTTTTAATTAAATTAAATTTTTTAAGTTTTGTAAATTTAAAATTTTTTATAATAAATTTTGATTAAAGTATTAAATTATTTATTTATCGATTAAATTTGATTTTGTAAATCCGGTTCACATTTATTTCCTAAATTTTATCGTAGACTTTCGATATATTGAGTTTTTATTATAGATTTTCAAACAACTTCTATATTTTTTTAATGTTTCAAAATGTTTCGAAAATATTTCCAAATAATGAAATATTTTCGAGTTTGAATCCTACGATTATAGGCGGTTAAATACAGTTTACACTAACTTTTCTCGTTGAATAATTTTTAGAGGGGTCAGTCTATCAGAAAAAAAATATGTAGAGTATTTTAAATTCATTTAAGAAAATTAAGAGGAAATAAGAAATCGATCTATATATATATATATATATATATATATATATATAAGCATATTACGCAATTCAGCTTTACTTTTAAAACTCCCTTAATCTATTATTTGTTCGACCAAAAAAAAAAATATAATCATAAATTTAATAGCGAATTTTAATTATGAAAGAAATTTAATTCGGTTTCGTTATGTTTCATTTTCTTATGCTTCTGATTTGACTAAAATATTTATTAAGAATTTATTAAAGGCATGAATAAAAACCTGAAAAAGCTAAAGAAAATCTTAGTAATTACGAATTGGGAAGAAATGTATTTAATTAATTTTACTCGGTTCATCCGGGTCTACTTTTTAAAACTTATACACTCTTGCACTCGTTAACAGTTTACACAACTCAAGATAGAAGTTGGAAAATTTATCCAAAATTTTCTACTGTCTGCTCAATTGGCTTGGAAATTATAGCTCCTTAAAATCCTTAAAAATTCTGTTTTTGAAAGTTTGTCGTTTTAAACCATCGTTTAATATATATTATTCAAGAACAATATGTTAAACGTTGCAGTGTCAAAAGGGTATTAGATTTGAAATTAGAATTTAAGATTTTTAATGTATAAAGAATATTACGAGATACAACTGGTTTAAACTTGTGGAAAATTAAATTGACCAATGAATCTGCACCTCGATCTGTATTATTTATTGCAAGGAAAATTTGGATCAGCAAAACTGTTTTAAGTACCCTCTCCTGTATATGTAGCTTATAATGTAGCGTTGTCCTGCGTATGTAGCTTATAATTTTGATATTATGTAAATGACCTTTAATCAATTGAATATGTCGACCTTATAAAGCAAGTGCATTCAAAACTTTTATTTATTAGTTTTTTAATTTATTGGTTTTTTGACTGTATACCATATTAAATTAGAATTTTTTATTTCTTTGTTTATTTTACACAAAATCTACGTATGTTATAACAAGAAAAATATATCTTCTTTTTTACAGATTTTTCTACCTGTACCACTTTTCATTCTATGCATACCACTACAGATTCAATGGACAATATAGTAGTTTAGCTTTGGTATCATCTTGGCTTTTTATTCAAGTAAGTTATAATATGCAATCTTAATATACATGCACGAGCAATAGATTTTAATTGTATAGGAAATAATTAAAACTCTTTAGAATTTTTAATCTAGCTCTTAATTCAAATTAAATCTTCAAACACAGTTGAAGAATTACAGTTAAATTACTTACTCGAATTACAGTTAAATAATTTCATTTCGTATAAGGGAACTTAAACTCAAAAAAGTGGCTACGATGATAATTTAAAAATAATTTGAGTCAAATTCAATTTAAGCTTTTCACATCTCAGCAGATTTTGTAGAATACAATTCTGAGTATCTAAATATTAAATATTGATTATATAAGTTTTTAATTTTTACTGCAGAACGTCCCCATGTCAAGTATTAGCTAAAATAAATCACCAATTTCATTATTCTTCATTTTTGAATATTAACCTTTCAATACTTTATCTATAATTAAATATAATTTAAAACAAAATCAATTACACTGTTCTTTATGCATAATATTATACTTTATTCTTGTATAAAAGCATATATTTATATATATATGTAGATATTTTTATTTACAAAGTAATTGGAGAGCATGTGCAAAGTGTATAGGTAAAAGATAAATATGCTTGTTTATAAGGGTATGTTATATAGATTATGAGACTCCATACATCTTTATTTATTTACTTTCGTAATAATGTCAACAAAATGATGTCAATATTATGGCTAATTTCTCGCAACAAAAAATTTTGTTATACGATAAATTTTCACCGCTAAATCAAGAATATGCCTAACATTAATACTCGTATGTCTATATAATGGTAAATTTTTAATACATAAATTTTAAACAGTGAATTTTTATATATACTCTATGAATGTATGCTTTTAAAAAATTTTAATAGAAAATTAATAAAGGAATGCCGTACGGATGCAAAATAAAACCATAAAACCACTCTTGAATTCACAAAATCAAAAAATATTACTCCTTCATATTCTATCAATTACATTGGGTGTCTGTATATGTATAAGTAAGGGAGAGAGAGATATATGAATGTGAAATATATTGAAAATGAATCAAGTGTTGAAATAAGAAGTCGAGGTGTAAGGATGTGAAAAAAAAATTTTAAATTTCCGTTATTTTATAGTGTTTTACCAGCAAACTAAAAACAAAGTACAAAATAGGATTTTTTCCAATAAAATACCTTTATTTCTGTTTTGAGTTGCTTTTGCATCTCTCTTATTTACAACAAAATATATAATATGTGAGCATATATATTATGTGTGTATATTTGTTTGTAACTGGGTATCAATTTGATTGTATTCCTTTTATTATACTATATCAGTATTTGAATAGAATATGTTGTATAAATAAAAGTATAGTACATAAATGGCAGAATATTCCATGCATATGCAATCATTTACTGTGAGACACAAAAAAATACTATTACTGAACTACTCCAATAAATATAAAATTTTTTTATGAATAAATATACGAGTACGAGTAGCATTTTTGAACTAAATTAGAAATGCTATTTTTTATTAATTTTTTTTTTGGTATACAAAATTTCAATCTTTATTAGCATTTGGAATTTACTAAAATTTTATATAATAAAATTAGTTACAAAATACTTCCATTTCTTACAGTTATCGTTTGTGAAAATATTTTCAATGAAGTTTTTATTAGATTTATTTAAATTTCAAAAGTTCAAAAAATGTATGGCCTTAACGTCTATTTAAAAAATAGGAAAAAATGAAAGTCAAAACATTAAAAAATAAAATATCTTGAATAGCTTAATAAATAAAAAATTCTAATTTTAAACATTTTCCTGCAGCCCAGGCTAATTTAATTTAATTTACATACATACATAGAATATTTATTGTATAACTAAAATATTGGTTAAGTGCTGCAGAACCAAAATATAGACAAAGTACTGCTATTTAGGCAAAGTAATGTGTGAACGTAAACATTTCAAGAAAAAATTAGAGTTATCAGCAAAAGAATTCATTTCAGTCACAATAGGAAAGGAATTGAATTTGGAATACTTGAGAATTTGAAATAATTTAAAAAAACAATTAAATTAAAAAAAAAATTCTTTGTTTATGTCACTGTATCACAGGTTGGCTATAAACTTGTGTTATAAACGGTATGTCATTGAATTTTAAACTATTTTACAAAAAAGATTAAATTTTTACTTTTTATAAAAAAAATTCAAATTTGTTTTTTCAAAATTTTTTTAAACCTCTTAATTTTAGCTCATGTCCAACTATCTAATGCAATTTATAAATTTGCAATTGACAATTCCTGAAATTTAATTTTCAAAGAATTGGGTGGTATTGGCACCTACATAATATACTTTACTCTCTAAAAACAAAGTGTGCCCATTTATTTTATTTATTTTTATTACTGAAAATTGTAGTTTTTACAATATCACGAAAAAATATTTTCTCCATACGTCATTCTCATTTGTATGTATTATTTCTCATACATACATATATGTATGGACATAACTTATTTTATATTTTATAAATAGTCTTGTATAAATAACAAATACCATTTTATATATATATACGTATCAATCTGAATTTTACCTTTATGTGTATAAGAATTTATGAATCATAATTCTGTTGTTGATGAATTTAATGCTTACTATGGGTGCATTTAAATTAATAATTTCAATCAGCAGGATATGTCACGTGGATTTGCTATGCAATTGAACAAATGACTTATAATAACATAAATCCACATAATCATTTTATAAGGAAAATATTATAAATGAAAATAGATGAAAAAGAAAAACAAAAACTGAAAATATAATGACATTGATGCATATGTATTGGTAAAAAATGTTATATCATGGCTGAAACGTTGTATTTTTTTTTTGTAAAATTCACGTGAGTTCGTTATCCAGTTCACGTGACTTACGTATAGTTTTAAAATTTTCATACTATTTTGTTTATACAAAAAATAAAATACAAACAAAAATTCTTTTGAATTTTTTTTTATTTTATATTTCGTCTTTGTTTTTGCTTTTTTTCATTTGTGCTTTGAAAAGTTTTTAACATTTCAAAAAAAAAAAATTTTTTTTGAAAAATAAAATTATTTTTCAAAAGAATTTAAACTTATGAATAATGCGTCAAACTCAGTGAATAGTGACAGTTTTTTTTTTGAAACTTTATTTTGTTGTGTAAATAATACTAACTGCTATTTTATTTAGCTTTTACAAAGCAAATTATCGTAAAAGTGCAAAATTTTCATAATACAATGAAACAGATTGAATGTGAAAACTCTTTTGTAATTTAATAAAAAATCCAGCACCAATTTTCAAGAATTCTTTTGAAGAATTTGGTGAAATAAAGTTGGCAAAGCATTCGTTGTTGTTGGGATTATGTGATGTAAATGTGGTTCCGTTTCAATCAATAATCTATTTCAATATTAGAAAGTTTGATAGTAAATCCGAGATAAATCTAGCTTCATGAAATTTTTTATCATTTTTACCTTGAAAATAATCATTCCAAATAGGCCTTATAATGGACCCTATTTAAGAAACTCATTAAGACAATGCTGTAGATTATAGAGAACTGCTGCTAAATGTATTTTAAAAATTTTCAATTAAAAAATTAAAATTATTATGAATGGCAACGTAATTTTTTAATGATGTTGCATAAACTTGTAGAAACAAAGACTCTACTTTAACTATCGTTAATAATATTGATTTAATTTTTTAATTCAAATTCATTATTAATTTATTTAAATGAATTTTCTTTTTTAAACTTTTTAGCATTCTATGTTCTACTTTTTCCATCATTATGAACTTCCAGTAATAATTCAACAAGCACAGTTACAACAAGTTGTCCTGATTTCGCGACAAAATAATCAAAATCAAACTCAAACAAATAATAATGGACAAGGTGGTGGACAGGCGGGCGGTGGTACAGATGGTGGTCGAACAACAATACAACGATATCAATTGATTAATAATAATGGAAATTTAACTGAATTGATAAGACCACTTTTAGAAAGACGTGCTGACATTATTAATACAATGAGAAGAGTTTTATTAGGACTTGGATGGATGGCACCGGTTCCAGTTCGAATGCAAATTGGTAATTTACAGCGTATTAATTTGGATTCTATACAAATTGGTCCAGTTAATTACGGAACAAGAAATCCATTGGTTTCTTATAACGTTATTCGTCAAGATAATTCTAGTGGGCAACAAAACCAATCAAATATCAGACAAGGTATAGAATTTGTTTTATGCAGTTAATAAAATAATTTGAAATTTTTTTTTTTCGAAATTAAATATTTATTCTTTTCTTTCAACGTTGATGAAATTCTGTTTTATTAAAAAGAAAATTTCTTTCTCGCTGTTCTTTGCATTTTTTTTATATGCATATTTTTTAATTTTTCAGAGAGGAATAGCACAGAAAGTGAGACCTTTTTAAATAGCAGTAATGGAGAGGAAAACTCCTCTAACCCAATTGATATAACTTCAGCATCAACAACAATTTCGCAGGAATCCAATAACACAATCAACAACAATACAAATAGCACAGTTACAACCGATGTCATAGGTATTACAACAAATTCTTCAATTATAAGAACGGAAAATCTTAATGAAGGAAATAACGGAAATGATACTGCTGAGAGTAATATATCTGGATCAGTCAGCTTTAATAGTAACTCTAGTGTTGGTGGTATTAGTAGTTGTTATGAGCACATTGAAGACGATGTTGACGATAGCGACACCGAAAACAAAAATAAAATTAGTAAACAAAATCTTTTCTTACCAGAAAAATCACAGCAGCATCAGCAGCAAAAAGAAGAAGAAATAAAAAAAGAAAAAATAGAAAATGGAGAACAAGGAATAACGAATGATAAAAATAAATTTATCAAGGATGTTACAAATGAAATTGTAGGAACCAACACGAAAGTCATTGTTGAGAATAATAAAAATTTTCAAAAAGATTTGCCTAAAGAAAATGCTAGGGAAGATAAATATGAAACGGAAGAAAAAAGTTGTGGGAATGATGATGATTCTAATAAAATAGTTGAAATCCAATTGAGTTCAGATACAGAAGGTGCAAGCAATTTTAAAAATAAATATGAATCAATTTCAATTAGTGCCTCAACGCAATCGAAAGATTCTACAAAAAAGAATGAAAGAGAAAATGAAAATTTATTAAAGGAGATTAACATTTCCGGAACTTTGGATTTAAATTCTAAGACTAATAATGGAATTGGAACTATTTTATCAGATTTAAAACCAAATAGGTGAGATTCTGTTTCTTAATTATTTAAAATTTATATTTTATAATATAAGAAACTTGTAATACAAATTTATAATTAATGAAAATGTTTCATTAAGTTCTAAAATATAGTGAGCAAGAAGGATTTATTGCATTAGAAAAATATGGCAAGGCATACGGTTTTTGTTCTTTAAATACTGTTTATATTTAGTATAATTAAATTTATTTTACATATTTATTGAACATTTTAATCATGATTTAATACATTTTTTCAAGCGTATGACTTGGTCCTGGCATTCTTTTTGTAAAACATAGCAATTTGATTGTTAAACGAAACTTTTCCTAAACACACGTTTTAACTGGATTGTTCTTATTTATTAAGTGCCCATCTTAAGTCACAAGCTTATTATTCAAATATCAATTTTAATGTAAAAAATATAATAAATTAAAAGTAGTAAAAATTAATTTTGCTTAAAATCAATTATGAAACTGAAATTTGAAGTTTTAAAATTTTTGTTGGAAATATTGTATAACAACAGAAAATTTTTATTGTCTGTCGTAAAATTAAAGAGTGCAATCTCATTAGACTGAATTTTAAAGGGAAAATCTTTTGTTGTTACAAAAAAATTTTTTTTTAATAATTTTCAAATCTTTTTTTAACTTACTTTTTTTTATTATTTGTTTAGTGATAAAAAAATAGAAGAAATTTCATCAACAGAAGGTAAACAGCCTACATTGAATATTGAACAAAATTCAACACATAAAATTGTGTCAATATTCGAAGATAATAAAAAAGACTTAAGTGAAAGTGCTACATCAGGAAGTAATTCTTCAAGTATAAATATTTTGAAATCAATTAATTTAAATTCAAATCAAAATCAAAATGAACCAAAATTACTTTCAACTCTTTCACCAAGAAAATCTTTACCTTCACAATCAATATCGTCATCTTTATTAATATCTTCAGAAAGTGAAAAGGAGATTAAAAATTTAAATAATCATACTAGTGATGATGATGTTAACTTTAAAAATAGAAGTTATAGTTATAATAATAAAAAACTTGCCTACGATATAAATAACGATTGCAGTTATCAATCTAGGCAAAATTTACCTAATTATTGTGGTGATGAAAGTAACCACAAGGATTTAACATTAGGTATTATGAATATTAATGATGATAGTAATTATAAAAATAGCAACAACATTAAGAGAAATCATTCATATAATAATGAAAATGTAAGTCTTAATATTGATAATAATTATAATCATCACAATGATCAAAGTAATGATGGTGTTAAAGATTTTGATGCTGATAATATAATAGCAGAAGATGCTTGCGGTGATAATAGTAAAAATACAAGTAACAACAGTAATATTTCCAATAACATGAATACAAATGTTAATGATTGCGGTGATTTAATGCCAAAAGGAAATTGTAAAATTAAACTTAGCGAAAGTAATTTCTTTTTAACAACAGAAAAGACAGCAAATCTTTTAACATCAACAGAAGATGAAAAGAAAAGTACGGAAGTCAGTCAAGACCAAAATTTATTAACTTGTGGTGATGATTCAAAAACTAATTGGAAAGAAAATTCAAAAGAAAATTTACTTTTAGAGTGATAAGGCAATGTTTTTTTTTTGTTATTTAATAAATATATATTTTTGCCATCTAAATGCTGAAGCAAATATTTTGTTAGGATAAATCTCATAAATTGCTGTACGATTTTTTGTCGTTCAATTTTTATTATACATTTGCCACTTTGTATTTTAAATAAATTTAACTTTTTTTTAATTAATCTGAAAATGGCTTTGAATTATTAGTAAATATTAATGTTATTTTACATTATTTAAGATATAATATTTCGATTCGTTTTTGAAATTTTTAAAGGTTGCTCGACATATTTTTATTTTTTCAAATTAGAGATTTAACAATTTTAATACAATTTTTAATTAATTAAGATTATTTATATGAATTTGTTTGTTTTTTTTTTAATTAATTTTTTTAATAAAAAAAATTTGCGAAGCCTATAAATTTGAAATTGGAAACTGTACTAAATTTATGATTTTAGTAATAAATATTATTAATTATGAGTTTTCATTATTAGTTTAAGATTTTAAGTTTATGGCCCATAATTATACCAAATTTTATAATTGTAGTTATAATTTATTATTGTCTATAATTATATTGAAATGTTTTATTGGTCACCTTATTTTCATTTTATTTAAAGTCACATTTTTGGATTTTATTGTTACTTTAAATCAACAAATCATAATGTACTTAAGTAATTTTATTTGAATTTTTAGGTTATTAGAAATTTTTATTTTAAAACTGTTTTTTTTTTCTTAAATAGTTTTTAATTAAAATATTAAATGGAATCATTTTAATTTTTTATAATTTTCATACAATGAAAATTTGCCAACTAAATACTCTGTATTTCTCTATTAAAAGTAAAATATTGGCAAATGTTTATTAATTTATATTAAAATGTTTTTTAATTTATATTAAAAATCATATTTTTGAAAATTTGAATATCATACATTTTCAAATTTTAAACATATGAGTTCGATAGCGAAAATTCTTTTGCATAAATTCAATTTGTTGCGGAAGTAAGATATTTTAGCATTGGGATGAAAACTTTAAATAAAAAATGGAATTTAAAATTGAAATCTTTAATTAGAACTATTAATTGTACAAAGCAAAGCAGATGAAAGTGGTAATTTATGAAAAACCTAACAAATTAGGAATAATAATATAAAGTAGCTATAGAACATTTTAAAAATTAGATGAAATTAAAAGTAATAATATATTGAAAAAATATTTACATTACGTAATATGATGTATATGTATAAAATAAAAATAGCCAAAGGAAATTTTTATTTTGATATTTTTAAATTTATACTTTTATTTTTGTATAGAATTAATTTTCAGATTTTTCAATCAGATTTTTTTTTCAATTTATGCTTTAGGCATTTTTAAAATGAAACTCAATATTCTGGTTTTTTATAATTAAATAAAATAATTTTTGTTTTATGATTATAAATTAAAAATATGTAAAATAAACTTATTATTTTAAATTATTTTATGTGCATGAAACTCAGTTTTTATTTTGAATTTGGTTAAGATTTTATACATACATAATATGTAAATGAGTTTCTACCACATTTTGTATTATACTTCTTATGAAACGCACTGTTTCAATTTTGTTATATATAAAGCGGAATGCATATTATTTATGTATATACATTTTTGATTACACTAAGGATTTAGATGCACCAATTCTTGTTTTAATTTTCATAATTTAAAATGCAAACGGGAGAGCAGTTTTGTTTATGTACTTGTTTAAAAAAAAAGCTAACCAATAATTAAATTAAATATTAGAAGGAAAAAGAAATATCAAAAGGAAAGATTCGGCAATGTGTGATGATTAAAATTTTAAACAAAAATTATTACAAACAAAAAACACTCGAAAGAAATTTTTTACGCAAAAAATTTAGAATTATTAATATACAATAATCATTCAATTTTAATTAAACTCTTTTCATATAACAAGGTAATAAAAGCTATTAATTTTTAATCCATTAGAATATTTGAAATCATTAAATTGTGATTATTATTGATGTTATTTTGTGGGTGCACAAGTTTAATCCATTTTAATTTATCAGGAAATTTAAGCAATATAATATGTTTTGCGTTTAATTAATTAAATCAAGAATAAATCCTACTATTAAAATACATCTAGACTTGAAAGCAATATCTAAAAGAATATTTTGTATAACACATTGTATATTTTATATAATAATGTAAGAGGTTTCATATACTTTTATAATATTCAAAAAAAAAATTGAGTTTTGTATAGGAAGATTATATTTTTTTATTTCTTATATTTAAAAGTTTTATAAAAAGATTATTATTTTTCTATTAAGTGTTTTAATCATTTTCTTTCCTATATTTGAATAAAATATTGATAAAAATTCTAGGGACATTTTATTTACAGTTTTTGGTGTGCATCAATCCAGCTTTTGGTGTATTATGTTGATAAAAAAAGGATGTTTTAAAAACATTAAAAATTTATTATTAAATATGCCAGAAACATTAGTTGTAATGATAATATGAATTTTTTTTGAATAAGTTTGTTCCTAATTTATTAATTATAATTTTTTTAAGTGTTTAAAATAATGTATTAACTTTGAAAATTTCAAATAATTTCATTTTTGTGGTTATAATATCTAATATTTTTGCCATATACATACGTTTTTATTTTAATGAAAGTTTATCTGTAGTTGGGTGCAAATACAAGTGAAATGTTAAATTTCAATGGAAATATTTAGCAAAACATAAATTAAAATTCAACCATGTCTGTAAAAGAAAACATTTTTGTAAATGTTGTTATTTCAATATGGACAGAAATTATTTATAATATTACATTGTAAACTAGTTATATTTATAAATTTTTTTATAAAACATAATGTATAAAATATTTTAGTTTAAATTGTATTAATTTTTTTCTTTTTAAAATTTACATAGAAACTTAGCATTTCGATTGTATTAGGGCTAAATTTATTATCAAGCTCCATTGTAATATAAAATTTTGTTTTTTTGTTTTTAATATAGCAAATTACAAAACATATAACAATGCATAGTAAAATTATGACATATAAAAAAAATACGAATAAATTTTTGTAAAATAAATACCACGAAATTTATATAGAAATTTTTAAATTTAAAATAAGAAATAATCACATTAGTAAATTTTTAATAATTAATGCATTATATACTAAAAAAAAAAGGAAGAAAAAACATAAAAAAATTTTGTATAAGATCTGATTTTTAACAATTAACTGTTATTGGTTTTGTGAATTTGTTAATAATAACCTTGTTGTACTTGTAAATATTTCATAAAATGAAGCAAAAGAAGAAAAGTTTAGAATATGATTTAAACAAAGTTATTCTGTGAAGATAATGTTATATAAATTTATCTATTAAATAAAAATTCAATTAATATACAAAATTATTTTTCTTTTTTCTTTACAAAAATTAATTTTTTTCATTTCAAAATTATTTTTCCTTTTATTTACAAAAGAAATGCAGACAATTCAATAATTTTTAAGCTTGTTAAGCTTTGATATTTGTTTTGCGTTATATAAATTTTAATGTGCGTGATCAAGAGATTCGGCGCTATTTAATATATAAAGTTTACAACTTATAACAATTTTACAAGCATTTTTGTTTTAAATTAATATGTTAGTAAAATTGGAAAATGGCAATGAATTATTAAATATGCAAATCAAATCTATTACAAAATGTCAAAATGTAAGGAAACTGTGTTATATTTTTGAATAAAAATATACTTTTTTTAGAGTAAATTAAATGTTGAATGAAAACTATTAATTCTGGTAAGTATGTACATGCATGTACATATGTACTAATTTGCAAATTTTTCTATATTTTAATTATTAAAATATACTCAAACTATAATCAACTACCTGAAATTAACATCTCCTTAAAGTTTCTTGTATAATCGATATAAAGGTTAATATTTCCATTATTTTTTTAAATTGATTTAATTTAAAACATTAAAAAGAAATTTATCTCATTGTGAATTATACCAAAATTATAGATTAAAATCATATTTACTATTCTACTCTATTCTACTCTATATAATTTAGCAAAAATAAATGTAATATCAAAATTATATATATATATATTATGAGTTTAAGTTATTATTAAATTAAACTGAATCAAGTTATTCTATTCTTATATTATTCTAACTATTTCAAGTTAGAAATTGTTTTACAACAATGTTTAAAGCGGGCAAATACAATTCTTATTGCTTTTTTAATACTACGATTCTAATGAAAATGAAAAATAAATTATTCCAAGAATATTTCTAATATCCTTTAAAGAAATTAGAAGAGTTTGAGATTTTAGGAATTCTATTGCAAAACAAGAAGGTACAAAACCCCACAATTACTATTTTTATTTCGTCTATTTGTTGCGGAAAATGTTGAATTTCAAATATAAAAAAATAACCCTTTTTCCAATAATTATTTAAAGTTAAAAAATTAAAAAAAATTCGGGGTGATAATTCTGGGTATCATGTTATACAATATCCGTGAATCCAAACTATCCTTACATTTTAAGTTTTTATTTAATTTTACAAAATCGTCTTTTCTATTTAAACATATTTTTTTTCATATTATTTTTAGTCTATTACAAGAATTCTGCATTATGTTTATAATACTAAAATAAAAGATTTATTTTGGAAATGTTAAGGAATATTATTTTATCTGGGGTCAGCAGTAGCACTGATTTGAACTAACTATGCTTTCGGTTTAGCAAATTTACAGTAAGATAACAATAATTATTGTGTATTGTTCGTTCAAATAGTAAGATTTAAAATTTTTTTATAAATCAAAACAAAATTAGTGAATAAATTATTTGAAATTATTTAATGGTAAGTTATTAGGGAGTATAATAACTTAGTAATCTCTATTGTAAAGACAAATGTAAAGCTACAGTTTCAAGATTTTTTATAAACCGTTTTTGCTTTCTTTAATGAGCTTCATAAATTATTTTGTGCTTATTATTATATTCCATCTAAATTTTCTTATGTTCACAATATAAACAAGGCAAAATAAAATATGCTTGTTATTTTATTATTTTTATTTTTAATAAGCCTTGAATATATATATAAATAATGTATGTATATTATGTATTTGCGTAGTCTAGGTATAGTCGAAATTAATATTTTATTTTTATCATATTAAAGATAACCAACCCTTAGGGGGTAGTGAATAATATTAAATTTTTGACCTTTTCAATATACTTTTATATTTTTATTTTATTTACATTATATGTGTATGTAATATTTTAGAGTTTATGCTTGTCTGTTGAACCGGAACCAACAACGGAAAAACAACTAAAAAAAATATGTGTATGTACATTATATTACACATAAAATCAACAATAAGGAAAGTAAAAATCCTTAAAAATATTTTGTTTCCTTTTTTAAAAAAAATTTTACTTAATTTACGTTTTTTTTCGGACAGTAACCATAGCCTTACCAAGCAACTAAATTATAAGAGATTATTGATGAGTCTATATATCCAATGATCTACTATAGATCCAATATGGTCTATAAATCCAATAAAATTCCTCTTAACAATATATAACAGATATTGGAAAAAATATGTAATCAATAAAACAAATAAAATTTTTATCAATTGTAATTTTTAAGTATTAAAATTTTTTTTAACCCTTCACAAAATTGATTTAATAAAATTTTTGTTATTCAATCTACAGGTAGTGCGCTACAATACATTTGCATTTTATTTTAAATGCATATTATGCGTAAAAATATTTTCTATCATCGATCGTCTACTTCTATTAAACAAAATAAGTAATAATACCTTTTGTTAATCGTTAACTGTTACAATAATTGCGTTAATACGCTCAAAGGAAGCAGCTTAAGTTAATTGCATAGTTCCTTTTTAAGTTAATGACTTCGTGAGGTAATTGAAGATTTTTAGTAATCCTAAATAGTTTCAAATTTGCCCATTAGACTGTGTTACATTTACATAACAAAAAATTTATGACAGGGGAAAAAATTAATAACAATATTAGCAGTATTGAACTGATATTAAACTTTCGCCTATAGAAAATTCATTGGCTTCGAATGTAATCGTTGCAAATTATGATGAGTTTTTTTATTAACGCAAGAGCGTGTATGATGAATTATAAATACGTTTTTTCATTTTACTCTGTTTAATTAAATGTATATTTGCTTTCGTTAATCAAATCAAATGTAGTGTACAAGTGTAAAAATTTTAATTTCTTTTTTTCATTTTAAGGTTTTTTTGGAACAATTTTATGTTATGTGCAAGTATTACATTCGTAAAAAAATTGTTGAAAAAGCAATACGTACACTTAATAATTGAAAAAAAACTTGGAAAATTAAAAATTTTTTCGAAACTGCACTTTAACTCTATTTCGTGCAAATTGAAAAATTTTTCGATAATTTAGATATACAATAAAAGTTTCCTAAGTGGTTTAGCACCCCAAATTTCCTGTAAAAGACCTTTTTCTATAAGAATAACTAAATGAAAATTCCTTCATTCCTTTTTCTTATTCAAAATATAAAAAATTTATGCAAAAATTTTATTTAAAATTTTATTTTTTTTGAAAAAACTTAAGAATTTTCGTTTCCAAGTTTCGAGCGTGCAATTTTTATTGAGCATGCAGATTTTAATTTATCGAACCCGAACATTTTGCTTTGAAATTGAAAGCACAATTATTTTCTATGCTTTATCAGAAACTATTATACGCTCTTTACACCTCATATGTTGGTATAAAAGAAGACAAATGAAAAAAAAATTATACTGACTTGTTGCTTTTCTCATTGGGTATTTGCATTTTAATTATTGCAAAAGAAAAATTTTGTATATCATATTAAAACCATAACATGATTTTTGTA